AACAACATGTTTAACACCAACATCCAAAATGATTGGTTTAAACTGCCCCCAATGCCAAAGATTAGTTTTCTCCTCTCCTTTGGTATCAACACCCTACCAAAATACCAAGTCATGGATGGAGATAATTATGAAGTACTTGAGACCATCCATTAGTTACTATTATACATTAAATTGAGCCCATCCAACACAAAAGGGAGCTAACTTCTCTTTGATTAGAGTATAATGACAAGTGAGCTGAGTACAAAAATTTTTGTAACTAAGAATCCTTGATACAACACCAAATCTAACACTACAAGTGATTGGTGAAAAAGTATAAGCTTTTGAATATTAAATGTTATAGCATTTAAGAAGATGAATTTTGATATTACATCATTTATATTCATGTTTCTTACATCTTCAAGCATTTCCCTAAAGTTGCCATCTCATATTTACTTTCAATTAACAGATGATATTTCATGGCCTAAAAAAACATTTATAGATTAAGATTGACTAGCACTTTGTGTCCCAACTCTAGAAGTAAATGCCCCATCAAAATGCTAATTTGCTATAGAAGGTAAAGCTGAAGGGGCATTTATTATTTGCTTCATAAACATCCAGCGAGCTTATTTCTAAACATGGAGAGGAATATATACTTTAATGTCATACTTAAAAACTATAGCAAGATGCACTTTAATTCATTTTGGTGGACCACTATACATTTTTCCAGAATAGTTACACTTAGCTCCTTTGCCAAAAGAACAAGAAAAAAGCTTGATAATATAGAACCATGCCTAATTAGGTGCCATTGCTCCAATTATGTAAAAATCAATTGCTAAGACACTAGAATCTAATTGTTGGAATTGTTAGAATCGCATTTTAAGATACAAATTAGAGTTTTTTGGGAAAAAAAAAAAAGCAAAGCATTTTTAGGGACAGCCCTCTTTGATTGCGTTCAGTGGCAATTAGCATCCTGGCCAAACATGGTCAAGACCAACAGTGGGCACAACACACTATCCTAGCTGAAAAAGGAATAAGAAAATCAATGTGTTAAATGTTTGACTTACTTTCTTTATCTTAATTATAATAACCAGTGAAATCTAGTCTTTAACATGATTTGTTTTGCACCTTAAAAATTCAAACCCAATAACCCTAATTTTTAAGGCCCATCCATGACATGATTTTCTTTGTAGTGCATAGAAAGAAATGCTGTCTATTGCCAAGCTCCTACAATGTCAGCATTTCAATTTTTTGGAGCATGGGATAGGGTGTGATTGCTTTGGCTCATCATCATGGTGCAACAGAGAACTTGGCAATGCTCTAGAGAGAGAAGCCCTTGGATCATACCACTAGTTATGAGAAAGTATGCTCATTACTATCAAGAGAGAAAGATAAGTGCTAACAACACCTTACATGTTCTTTTATAATGTGGCCATCTTTAGCCAACTAAACTCAAGCATAAACTCAATAAGCTGCCACTAGATATGTTGTCTTACCTCACTCAGCCAATGAGCATCCAAGCCATACTACTCTCCCATTGGCCAAGAGCAAGATCCATGAAGTTTTTAGTCAACCAGCCTACGAACCAATTGCTGGGGTATAACCAAGTTGTATGAGTACCATTGATTTAGTTGAGACACACTATTGCCTTAGGAATTTAGTTTGACTGATGGGATAACCCCTTTATTCTCCACTAGAGCAAGTATATCAATGATATCCTATTAGCATGCTCTTTTCATGATAACCATGTTAGGAGAAAAAGTTTTTATACAGGTGTAACATAATGGCTAATCCTAATGATTCTCAAAAAGAATTTATGATATCTTTTTTTTTATTTAAACTACTCACCTAGGGAGAGAATCAACTTTTATACTGATTACCTTCTAGCTCAAGTATGTATAGATTGACATTGTAAGACCTGTACATAGTAAGGGTCCTCAATATAGAAAAACATATCTTTTTAGGGTTCTTCTTGGAAGAGTAGGGTGGCGAAGTCAAAAGCAACGAGTGGTGGAGGATCTGCAGATCCCCGACCAAAAAAGAAGCTTCCGCTTGGTTTTTGAGTATGAGGTACATTTTGCCCTTGTCTTTGTGAAACTTGTTGCTAATACACAACTAAAGTTGCAGAACTAACCAACCAATAAAGGATACTCATTTTTTCACCATAAAACTATAGCTCAAAACTATTCATTTGTAACTAGATAAATAATCTATTATTCTTTATCTCTGGGATCCTAGCTAGTTAATGTTTAATTAATTAGGGAAAACATATTCTATAGATATTCCCGAAAGCTGGGGTAAGTTTCTGCAGCTGCCAAGAGTGCTCGCGGGGCTCTGGCAATACTCAAGAAAGCACGAGCTGCTGGTGTACGTGAGGAGCTGCTACGGCAAAATCCTCAACTTGATCTGGGCGCATAGTGAGACGTCAGAGGTAGCTTCCGTGGTTGTGCTGGGCACGCCCGGGATCGGCAAGTCCGGCTTTGTCTTCGTCCTGTTGTGGGCACTCCTTCACAAGTGTTGCTGGAACCTCATCCTCCTCAAGTTCAAGGAATCCGACAGGTACTACGCCTTTGACAAGGACAGCAAAGTTTCATCCACTATCAACCCTGCTGTTGCCGTGAATTGGGTGGAGGATGAAGAGGAAGGCAAGGTGTGGTACCTGGTGGACTGGAAGATCGATAAGCACTACTGGAGCCTGCCTTGCAAGGTTGTTATGGCCACCTCGCCTGGCCGGCAGAATCACCACCACTTCTTCAAAGGAGACGATGTAATCAGGCTTTTCGTTCTGACGTGCTCTTGCGAATAAATCCAACGATCTGGTTTTCAAGCATCCAAAGGCCGAGGTTGACAAGAGGTTTGACAAGTGAAGAGGGGTCCCACTATCCAAGACTGGCATACATCAGCAGCAAGAGCTTGAGGATATGGGCAACTCGAACGATCATTGAAAGCTGACGAGACGTGGCTTCAAGTTTGCATGTGTTTCAATTGGTTCTAATTTCTTGTCATGAAAAAGCCAAGTGACCTGCTCAACGATGATAAGAACTGGAAAACGCTGTGTCACAGCGTGCCAAGAAGAAAAATGCTACGAGATTGGAGAGATTTTGTGTCAACGTGATTGATTGTCAATGCTTTGAGTTATGTTGTTGCTGCGCTCAATGCAAGACCTGAGAGCTAAGAAACAACGTTGCCTGTGATCTTCAGAACCTCAATCCAGCTGAAGACGTGCATGACAATGGTCCAACCTCAATGATTGTGAAAACTCCAAAGGCAAAGGAATGTGTGTGCTTCTCAATGGCTATAAGAAGCACAGTGATAATAGCATGAATTTACAAGAAAAGATGCTCAGATCAACTTGTATTCTGTTTGTCTGTTTGCTGTTCAATGAAATGGACATTAGATGTTAGAGGTAGAGATGATGTGGCATGTAGTTATGCCTACGTGGTAGTAGTTTCATATATATGTACCATCTATATATAATTGAATACAGAGAGAAAGTTCTTCCTCCTTTGTGTGTGTCTTTCCGCTGCTAACAATTGGCTCTTTAATCTTCGGCATGGTGCTTGCTGGCCAGGAGGCTAGTGATGAAGAGAATGAGCTTCCTGATTGCAATTCTTTTTGCAATGCTTAAAGCTTTTGTTAGATGCACTAGATGCTTGAGGTGTTGCATCAAGGCATTAGGCCGTGCAGAGGTGCTCAATAGCAAAGAGTAGCAAGTAGAGCATAAAGCCAATGGGAGATTGAGATATTTTAGCAACCATATAAAAAATTGGATCAAGCAAGATTCAAGAACATTTCATAACAATTCTTTGCAAGAATTTCTAGCAATTAAGAAAAATGCTTAAGGAGATTCAAGTGCTTGGTAATAATAGCTTAGCAGTTCATAGCCAAGACCACATGTTAGTGGCAAGATTGAAGCCATAGCAAGGAGCAAAGAGTGTGCAAGTAAGTCCAAGACCAAAAACTAAGTTTTATATAGTTGATTGATGAATTTTTAGTATGCTTTTCTCATTAACTTTTCATGCTCATCATTTCAAACGATCTAAACAGGATTCAGGCTTAGATTCAGGCTTGGATCAACTGCTTGATCATGAGTGGAAGTGTTAGAGGTAGAAATGATGTGGCATGTAATTATGCCTATATGGCAGTAGTTTTATACATATGTACCATCCATATATAAGTTCTTCCTCCTCGTGTGCATCTCTCTGCTGCTAACATCAGGTTTGAGGAGTGTCTGTTCTAATTGGACAACACCTGAGAACAACTAGGAGGGCTAGAGGCTTCGACCTTTATGTTCTCTACAGTTTTCTTTATGGTTTCTCTAACTTTTTTTTGTTTTTGCAATGCCATGAGATTGCAACATAGAAGTTTATGCTGCGGCAGTGGCAAAACCAGACGATCTACACAAAGCCAATGGGATGCAGGGACAAAACGCAACAGGGGACACAATCGCTAAGTTGACAGAAGGACTAGTTAAAAAGTATTTGATTAGTGAGCTAAGCTGATGGAAACAACAGCGTCGGTAGGCCCCATGAACACAACGTCAAGCGGCCGTATAGGCTGAAATGATGGTACGGAAGGGATGGATTGTGACCCACGTGATGGAATCGTTGGACGGAATATTTGTTCTCCTCTCTTTTGAGCTACAAGTATATATAGCGAGCTAATGGATGGATCACTGCACTTCCCAAATCAAATCTAACGTCGCCCCGCTCAAAATCACAGAAACTGGGGAGCCAAGCGAAATAATTCGCCGAGCAAATCAATCAAACAAGGTGTCGGAGAGGAGCGAAGAACCGTAGAGCACTACCTTTTTGCAAGTTGCAAGATTGCGATGGACCAACAGAACGGGGCCGGAGGCCTCCTTTTATATCCATAGCCGTCGGAGAGGGAGAGAGGAGACCAAATATTCCGTTTTGTCACTCGTTCGTTCTTATCCGGATTGTTCCACTAATCCAAACCGGATTGGATCTTTCGAAAAGACGCGATTTTTTCTTCTCTCGATGTTTTCGGCATCGTGAGGATTCATGAGAGCGGCACCTCTCCGATCAATTCCAGCAGCTCCATCGCCATCGCATTCCGCGCTCGTCTTCCTTCTCGGATCTGCCCAAGCTCCGGAGCATCCAATCCTCCACAGCGATTTCTCCCGCGACAAGCTCCTCAACGATCATCTCCTCCGCCTCTACGGCAAATGCGGCTGCCTGGACGAGGCATGCAGGGTCTTCGATGGCATCCCCCACAAGGACGTCTACACGTGGACGGCCATGATTGGCGCCTACGCCCAGGCAGGCGGCGCCAAATGCATCTTTGACAAAATGCCCGAAAAGAACGCCGTGACATGGAACGCGATGATCACAACATATGCCAAGGCAGGGCATCTGGAAGAAGAAAAGAATCTCTTTGATCGAATGCCACACTGGACGTTGATCTCGTGTAACATCATGTTGGTTTCTTACACCATTGATCATGATCTAAAATGTGTTCTTGATCTGCTCGATTCCATGCAGGAGAGAAACGTATTTACGTGGAACACGATGATCACTGCATTTGCCCAAGAAGGGCAGTTGTAGGCCGCAAAGTCAATATTCCGGATTGGAATCTCGCTACCTGGACGACAATGGGGCACCTCTCCGACGCTTGGGCGGTGTTCCGGTCCATGCCGGAGCATGACGTGATATGCTGGATCGCAATTCTCCTTGCGAACTACCAAAACAGCGACCCGGAAGCTGTGTTTGATTCCATGCCGGACTGGAGTGCTGCTTCGTGCACGGTGATGCTCCAGGCCCTTTCTGACCGTGGCCACATCACTGCAGCAAGGGACGTCTACGATTCGATTACGGACAAGAATGTGGTGGCGGGGACGGCCATGATCACCGTGTATTCCCAGGCGGGAAGGTCTACCCACGCCCAGGAGGCTTTCGATTCCATGGAAGAGAAAAACGTGCTGACGTGGAGCTCGCTCATGTCTGCATATGCCCAGGCCGGGCAGATGCCTCAGGCGGAGAATCTCTTTGAGCATATGCCAGAGCGGAACCTGGTGTCGTGGTCAACGATGATATCCGGGTTCGCGGAGAATGGTAACTTGGAGAATGCAAGATGCTGTTTTGATTCCATGCCGGAGCACACGCAGGCAGCGTGGAACGCACTGGCGGCAGCATATACCATTTTTGGGCATCTGGAAGACGCCAAGGAAACGTTCGACGACATGCCCGATCGAGACCAAATCTCCTACACGGCCATGGTCCAATCTTACGCGCAAAACGGAAACATAGGCGAAGGGATATCTCTTGTCTACGCAATGCCGCACAGAGACGCCAAGACCTGGAATGCGCTAATGGCAGCACTTGCCCAGAAGGGGTATCTGGATCGCGCGCGTCGGGTGTTCGACGCCATGCCAGAATCCAACGGAGTCTCGTGGAGCGCCATAGTCTTGCTACGCGCAGACGGGCCACGGGGAGTCAGGTGTCCGGATGTTTTCGGCAATGGCGGCAGAGGGATTCTCCGCAGACCAGGGGGCTTGCCTGAGCGGGCTCGTCCTCAAACCCACATCGGCCGCGTCCCGCAGTGCTGCGCCTTCTTCCGCTCCATGCAACAGGACTTCGGGGTGGCGCCGCTGGCGGAGCACTTCCTGTGTGTGGTGGACTTGCTGGGAAAGGCCGGGCATCTGGAGCGAGCGGAGGAGCTGGTGGAGATCATGCCCTACGTACCGCACGCCAAGACGTGGGGCGCGCTGCTGGCGGCTCCATGCAGACGTCGGGCGGGCCAGCGGCGCGGCCAGGAATCTCTTCGCCGTGGACACTCGAGATCACGTGTTGCTGTCCAACGCTTATCCAAGTCCACTGTGAAATCCGATAATATAAACCCGATATTTCCACGCCTTTAGTACTCTTCAATGTGCGATTTTATTTAGATAACCATAGGTATATTCGTGGATACTTTCGGAGGTGTTTATATACCTAAAGAAAGCAGAGCTGCGGAAAAAGGATGTCTAGTTTTTTGCGACGATCTCTCCCTTTTCGTCTCGCTGCAAATCCCGGAGCGCTGCAAGAAGCTGAGAGGAGGAGGAACTGCAAGGCTGGGGTCGCGCGCTGCTCCTTCTCCTCCTACACGAGCGGCGCGACGGCGGATCTGTACGCGCTGCTTGGCGTGAGCTCCGGCGCCGACGCCTCGGAGATCAAGAGCAGCTACCGCAAGCTCGCGCTGCGCTACCACCCCGACGTCTGCCCGGCTGGCGACCGCGAGCAATGCTCCCGGATGTTCATGCGCGTCCAGGAGGCGTACCAGGTGCTGTGCGACCCGGAGCAGCGCGCGGGCTACGATCTGGCGCTGGTGCGCGGATCGGGATCGTTCCAGCGGCGATCATCCAGCAGCGTGTCATGGCGAGCGCAGGTCGATGCGATGAGGAGGCGACGCCCCAAGAGTGGATCGTGGGCCGCGACGATGCGGACAAACTCCGCGCCGCTAGAGCAACAAGAAGTTGTGTTGTAAACTCTTCCAAAACTAATCCAATCCAAATCATCCCCGTCAACTTTTGTTTGAAAAGTTCAAGGGGACAGGACACCGATCTCATCACAGCAGCACTCTGGAGTCGTCCGAATCCAATTTTGCTGGCGATGGGGCCCCGCGCCGACTGCTTTTGGAGCTCGCCCCCGTGGCTCTGGCCTGCCTCAGCATCTCCACCGCCTCTTTCATCGTCGGGCGATCGCCCGGCCTTTCCCTGGTGCAGAAGAGCGCCACTCGCAGCAGCAGTGACATCTCGCTCCTGTCACCCTCGCTCGCGAATTCCCACACCGAGGGATCCGCCAGCACCTCTATGCTGCCGCATTTCTTCGCCCAAGACACTATATTCTCGCCCTTTTCCAAGAACAGCGGGTCCACCGGCGACTTTCCTAGCAAAAGCTCCAGAATGACGACGCCAAAGCTGTAGACGTCGCTCTTCTCGTTTACTCGCAGCGTGTAGGCATACTCTGCGCAAAGCCAGCCTGAGAAACGTGCGAAAACACGCAAAACACGTACCAGGAGCAATGTAGCCGTATGATCCGGCAATGGACGACATGGAGCCCGTCTCCACTTGCTTCTCCACGAGCTTGGCGAGGCCAAAGTCCGCGATCCTGGCTTTCACCTCGATGTCGAGGAGGATGTTGTTGGACTTGATGTCCCTGTGGATGATTGCCGGCGAGCAGTCGTGGTGCAAGTACGCCAGGCCCTGCGCCGTCCCGAGAGCGATCTCGTAGCGCGTTTGCCACGAGAGGCTCTCGCTCGGCCGCCTGTAGAGCATGTCTCCCAGGCTCCCGTTCGCCATGAACTCGTAAACCAGGAGGTCGCAGTCGTCGAGCTTGAAGAAGGCGTGGAGCTTGACGATGTTCCGGTGCTTCACCTGGCCAGCGGTCTTAAGCTCGCGCAGGGAGCTTCGGTCGTCCACCGCGCTTCTTTCACCCTGTACGAGCTGGAGCTTCTTCACAGCAAACTCCAGTCCGGATGGCAGCTTTGCTTTGTAGACCGTCCCATAGGCACCCTGTCCGATGACGAAGCGCGAGTGGAAGTTGTCCGTCGCGGCGACCAAAGCCTCGTACGTGATCCCTCTCCTACGATCGCCGAAGACGAGGCTTGTCTGCCTGTGCGCCGACGCTCTCTTCCACGCGTAGCAGCATGCCACGATCGCCACCGAGGCTATGAGCGCGCTGCCGACGATGATTCCCACAAGTCCTGCCGTCGGTATTCTCCTCGTCGTCCCGCTACCGCTCCCGTCACTGACGCAAGGACTCAAAGCTTGCGAGCCGCACAAGCCACTGTTTCCCAGAAAGGAGCTGTTGAATCTTTGCTGCGATCGCCATCCATCCGGGAGAGGTCCGCTCAACTGGTTGAAAGAAACGTTAAGAACCTCCAAGCTTCTCAGCTGGTCGAGCTGGGACGGTATCACTCCGGTGAGCATGTTGTAGGACAGATCCAGCGTTTGCAGCCTCGTCAACGCAGCCAACTGAGGTGGAATCGTGCCGGCGAGCTCATTTCCGTGAAGATCCAAAACGCTCAGAGACTCTAACGAGCCAACCTGGACGGGAATCCGACCCTGTAACCTGTTCTTCGCCACGTCCAAAGTTATCAAGTTCCGCAGTTCCATCCAGAAAGTTGGCAGCTCCCCCTCGAGCGCGTTTCCGTGAAGGATGAGGTCCATCAGCCCGGTAATGTTGCTGATGCCTGTCGGTATCGCTCCACTGAGATTGTTGCGGCTGAGATCTAGCTGGATGAGCTCCGAGAGCCGACCGACGGTAGGAAAGATGGGGCCAGTGAGATGGTTCCCCGACGCGTTGAAAAGCGTGAGCTCCTCGAGGTGCTGGAGAGAGTCTGGAATGGAGCCAGAGAGCTGGTTGTCATGCACCAGAAGCGCCGTCAGCATGAAGCACTTGCCGAGCTCCTCCGGGATGGATCCGTTGAAACTATTGTCCGAGACGTCCATGTAAGTCAAGTTGGTATTGTCGCCAAACTCGCGGGGGATAGCTCCCGAGAGGCGGTTCGTCCCGAGGAAAATCCGCCGCAAGCTCTTGCAACCCGCCAGGCCCACAGGGATCCCCCCGGTCAACCTGTTTCTCTCGAGGCTGATCGCGGACAGGGACCCGCTCGAGCAAAGTCCGGGAGGAATGGTTCCTTCGAGGCTGTTGTTTGCAGAGTGTACGATTGTCAGCATCCCGTTATCTCCGAGTCTTTGCGGAAGTGGTCCACTGAGATCGTTGCTTTGCAAGTAGAGGCGCTGCCAAGCCATGTCCCCGAATCGCGAAGGAATTCCTCCGGTCAAGTAGTTCTCCGACAAGTCCATGACGGACAGCTGAGAGCAGTTGCCCAACTCCTCGGGGATGCTTCCACTGAGCTGGTTGGTTCTCGCTTGGAAGGTTTCTAAGCTCGTCAGCTGCCCGAATTCTCTGGGGATCCCACCACCAAGACCATTCTCCGAGATGTCCACGTACACTAGCTTCTCCAGCCCCGACAAACTCCGAGGGATTTCTCCAGACAAGTGATTCATGTTGAGTACGAGGGCGGTCAAGTTCTTGCAGTCACCGAGCTCGGCTGGAATGCTGCCAGAGAAACCATTGTCCGCGAGCTGTAGAACCGACAAGCTGGCCAGCTTTCCAAGCTCCGGAGGAATCCGGCCCTCGAGCTGGTTTGTGTTGACGTCGATATGTTCCAGTCGGGTGCAGTTTGCAAGCTCGGCGGGGAGCTCTCCCGAGAAGCCATTATCAAAGAGCTGGAGCGACTGGAGCCTGGTTAAGTTCCCGAGCTCTCGCGGTATGATCCCGGACAAGTTGTTCGTCCCGAGGAGCAAAGTCGAGAGGTTGGCACACCTTCCAAGGCTGGGAGGAATGCCGCCGGTGAACTGGTTCTCCTGGAGGATGAGCACGTCGAGATGGATCAGGCTGCCGATCCCAGCGGGGATCTCCCCGTTCATCTTGTTGCTATAGAGATGCAAGTTCTGGAGCATCGTGAGCCTGCCAATGTCCGGGGGGATCTCTCCAGTGAGATTGTTCTGGTAGAGCACGAGAATCTCCAGCTTCACCATCCTTGTGATCGAGGAAGGGATGCCCCCCTCGAGCTGGTTGACACTCAAGTCGATGAACGTCATGTTTGCGCAGTCCCCGAGCTCCGGAGGGATCCTCCCGGTGATGTGAGTGTTGTTGCTGAGATCGAGCTGCTCGAGGCTGGCGCACTGCCCAATCTCGCCGGGAATCTCACCCTCGAGCCAATTGTATGACATGTTGAGGAAGCGCAAGCTCCTGAGCCTGCCCAGCGCCGGAGAGATGCTTCCCGCAAGATTCAACCCCTGGATCGTCACGTTGAGCACCGCATCGTTGTCGCGGCTTCGGCCATCGCTGGCGCAGGTCACGCCGATCCACTGGGAGCAGGGCCGGGACTCATTCCAGCTCGCCAGGCTGCCATTCCTGTCGATAATCGCAGCTTTCACCTCGAGCAGCACCTGGAGATCGCTCGACAGCGCCGCCGCGAGCCCTGGCAGCAATGCCAGCGCTGCCGCTGCCGCCAGGGCTAGGGCTACAAAGATTTCGATCCAAGAAGAATACCTGGATTGCCCTCGACGAGACATCCGCATTGCTCCCAGGGTCGCTGGTACCACGGCTACGATAGGCGAATATCATCGTCCTGCCCATCGCTGACGATTAAACTATTGGAAGGCGGCACAGGAAAGCGATAGAATGAAAAAATTTCGTCAACGCGGACGGGCGCAAACCCACTTTGAAGAAAAAACTCTCCTCTGACCCTTAGAACCCTATGTCCCGCCACGTCAGCACAAAGATATTCGGCGAATAATCTCCGCGATAAAGGTAATGGTTATGGTTATGGTAATGGTAATGGCGGAGTAAATAACCCAGAGTTCCGTTAACGAAAGTTAGGAGCTCCAACAGCCTGCGTCGATAAAAACTGGCCACTTTTTTTTTTCTTGGTTCTCTATTTTTCTCGCTGGTTTACTTTGCTCCATGGAGCTTGCAAACATCTCTGAGCTTCGGCTGCTGCTACTGCTGCTTCTCATGGCTTCTTGCTTCGCGATCGATGATCCGGCGACGGTGGGCGACAATGATCTCGTCGTCGGACGGGTTTTCTGCGATCGATGCATCGAGGGCCGCTTCTCCGAGTACGCAATCTTCGTCAAAGGTAAGTCGTAGTCCTGGATGATCTTGTGAGAACTCTTGCTCAATAGAACTTACCACTGGCGATGGTTTGATCGCGTTCCAGGTGCCAAAGTCGCACTCGAATGCACGCAGCAAGACGGGGGGATTCACGTCGTCGAGGCATTGACGGACTCGGCCGGAGCGTTCGCCATTCCGGTGGACGAGCCCGGCTCTTCGTGCGCCGTGAAGCTGCTGAGCACTCCCACTCCGCAGTGCAACATCGCGGCCAAGCACGCACAGACGCTCAACGCCAACATGCGCACCAAGGACAACGTTATCTACGTCGGCCTTCTCAGCTTCCGGCCCGAGGAGCCGCTTCCCATCTGTTCCCAAAGAGCTTACTACGCTTCGCCGCCGCCGCCACCCGAGTACTGCTACGCACCACCGGCATACTCTTCTCCAGCACCTGTAAGTCGACCGCCTTCACCACCTCCAGCGTACTCCTCTCCAGCACCGATAAGCCGACCACCATCGATAAGCCGACCACCATCGCCACCTCCAGCGTACTCTTCTCCAGCACCTGTAAGTCGACCGCCATCACCCCCTCCAGCGTACACCTCTCCAGCACCGATAAGTCGACCGCCATCGCCACCTCCGTATGCTTCTCCAGCGCCGATAAGTCGACCACCATCGCCACCACCGTACTCTTCCCCAGCACCAGTCAGTCGGCCACCGTCGCCACCACCTTACTCGTCTCCAGCACCAGTCAGTCGGCCACCGTCGCCACCACCTTACTCATCCTCAGCACCGCCGGCTTACTCCTCCCCAGCACCTATAAGCCGACCACCATCGCCGCCACTGTACTCTTCTCCCGCTCCTATAGTCCGCTCCTCCCCGCCCCCGCTCTATTTCTCTCCAGCTCCCACGACTCGTGCTTCACCGCCACCTTTGTACTCTTCCCCGGCTCCGACTGTCCGCTCGTCTCCGCCGCCCCTCTATGGCTCGCCTGGTCCAATTGTTCGGGGACCCCCGCCTCCACTCTACTCATCTCCAGCTCCAACCGCTCGACCATCGCCACCACCACTGTATGGTTCACCGGCTCCAACAGTAAGACCCGCGCCACCGCCAGTTTACTCCTCTCCAGCACCGATTGCTCGAGCTTCACCGCCCCCGTACTAAAGCATCGAACGAGATAGATCGATAGTCTGATTAGCAAAAAAGAGTTAAGAGCATAAAATGAAGAACAGAACTTTGTTACCTATAGAAGTCGAATAAACTTTTTTTTTTGTCTTGACGCGAGAAAATGTCTGTTCACAAGCTTCGAAAGCCACAGCGCGACACAGCTGTTCCACGAGAAATAGTAGCCTAGTAGAAGAAGAAAATTTGGAATTTTACAGAGCACAAGGACTAGACTCTGATCCGCAATTGTGGAGGAGACTGTAGCACCACCACAACTATATAGCTGCTAAAACTTTGGAACACACCTGGGAACTCGAACCGTTATCCAACACACTCTTTTTTTTTCCCTTCTCCTGCGAGCTCTTTCAAAAGATGGAAGTCCCTCAAAACAGCCTTCTCCTGAAGCTCCTGGTTGTGGCCTGGTACGTCCGGACCATGAGGCCAACACCTATGCCAACGCCCAGGCACATCCCCAGGCCGATACCAACGCCTACCCTGACACCCGCGTTAAACCAGGACATCTCCCCGTCCTCGTTCTCCCCATACCCGGTTGCCTCGGGCAGGAAGAACTTGCTCAGCCCAAGTTCTTGGTTCTCATTACTTGCTTGAATCGTGTCACTCGCATCAACCTGGAGCCACCGCAAAAGGGACAAAAAAAGCAAACTTTTAGAATAGAAAGCGAAGAAAAGTCTGGTCTACCAACCTCAGAGTCCGTAGCAGCTCTGTTCTGTGAGCGATGACACTCCTCGTCCTCTGGAATGGCATCAAGCATTCCACACCGGGTCACTCTCCGCCGGGCCATGAGATGAACAGTCCGAGTCAAGATTATCGGCGATCCAGAGTGGGAGCCCACGACGCAGATCTCCATTGTCGGTGGTGTGAGGAAGTACTCGTGGCGGCCACGAGTGAAAACACATCCAGCTGATCCCAAAGCACAGTTGCACTCCATATTCCATACAACGCTTCCGGCCTTGTTGGTGGACGAGGACTTCTTCTCCACCTTCTGGAGCACTCCACTGAGAAGAACTTCCTCCTTATCGACAACCTCAAAACCAACAGACCCCACAACATGCAAGTGGTCCGTGCCGACGTAAGTCACCTCCACGGACTCGGTGTCCATCCTGTCCCTCCGGAGAGCCAGAGAAATCTCCTCGGAGGGAGGAATCCGGGCTCCATTCACCTCCAGGTACTTGTCGATCGTCCGCGAGGGGAAGCGCACCACCAGGGAGTCGGGATTCCCATCCAGCGGGCAGTAGCTCACTCGCACATAGAGAACCTTGACCTCGAGCGAGCCCCCCCCTCCGAAATAGCTGCCGCCCTCCATCTTGCTGCTGCCATGGGCCTCCGGTTCCTCCGCGGTGAGATTCATGACTCGTGCGCCTCACAATCGGGGCGACTCCTGCTGCATTTCACCGCCAAAACCGAGAGAAATTTCCCTCTCTCTCTCTCGATTCTTCCCACAGACCTCCAGCGCGCGATTACACCCGGACTGCTGCCGAGCATGCAAGAGGAGATCCGGGCGGGGCGGATGCAAGCACAGGCAGCCGCAACGATCCAAACCCTAGGCGCAGCGCAGCAGACAAAGCTCCTTCCCGCAAACAAACCATGGAGGAAGCCCTAATTTCATGTAAGGCAGCAGGGCCTCAATAAATTGGAAACTCTGGGGACCGGCCAAACCGGTGGCTACCACGCGACCGCCACCGGCACGTGGACCTGATGTCCTGCCGCCGTTTGTATGGTCCGCCCATGGCTGTGGGACCTGACCATTAGATTTTCTCTGGCCGCCAATCCCAGCCGCCCATGTAAGATTCCTTTCTCATTTCTATTCTACTTCATCCTAAGCCTGGCTTTTTTCAATCGTCGAGAGCATTGACATGGTTTTGGTATGTGCCTCGTGAGCTGACGTTTTACGTTGCCAAGCTTCACGTGAAGAAAGAAAAAGAAAAAGAAAAATAAAAAAAAGCGTTCAAGGTCACAAGCTCAAGCTTAGAGTCCTTGTTATTTGAGGCTAAGGAGGAATTTTTCCGGATGCTCCACCATATCCTTCCATTCATTGCAAAACCTTGCGATGGTTGCTCCGTCAATAACCCTGTGATCGGCACCCAACGTCACCTACGCAATTGCCAAGGTGAGAGTTTGATCCTCCTCAGAAGCTTCGAAACGAAGAAACTTACGCTCATAATCGAGGCTGGATAGACTCGGCCCTCCTCATTGAACCTCGGAAGCTTTTGGATTCTTCCCACGGCGAGGATGGCCGCCTCCGGGAGATTGAGCACGGGAGAGCCGAACTTGCCACCAATGGCTCCAAAGTTTGACACGGTTATTGTGCCATTGCTCACGTCGTCTGGGGTCAGCTTGTTGGCCGCGGCCAGCTTTGAGAGCCTCGTTATCTCGTCAGCAATCTGTTGATTTGCATCAAAGAAGCGAAAGCAAAGCTGTTTAGTCGCTCGTAAAGAACACAAGTTTGGAGGTTTACTACCTCTTCCAGTGAAAGCTTCTGAACTTGCTTGATGTTTGGCACTGCCAGGCCAGAATCAGTAGCCATAGCGACTCCAACATTGTGCCATGCTGCATAAAGGAAAACAAACAAAGCGCGAAGATCAGAGTAAAAAAACTTGAGAAGACACTTACTCTTGCAGCGGATTTCCGACGCGTCCTGATTGATGTTGCTGTTGAGTATGGGGTACCTGACCAGCGTCAGCGAGAGTGCTTTGATGAGAAACGGGAGGAAAGTAAGCTTGGAGCGAGTTTGTAATTGAAGATGAGCTCTTAATTTGACAAGAGCATCCACATTGATCTCCTCCATGTAATGAAAGTGAGGAACGGATGCCGCGGCAGCCATGGTTTTGGCCATAATCCGCCTGAAACCTCTGAAAAGAAAAGAAAACAACATAAAGGACTGGTTTCTGGAAAGCGAAAAAAACATCAACCTGACTGGGATGACTTTATCGTCTTGCATCTGCTCGACTCTATCTGCCGAAATCTTGTCGAAGTCGGTAATTTCGTCCGCTGGGACCGTTTCACCAGTCTCGGCGGGTGTCGAGCTGATGCCGGTGATATCGCTTTCCACAGCCTCTTTTACCGAAGCGATTTTCAAGACGTCGTCTTTGAGTACTCTCCCCGCTTCGCCACTGCCAGCAACGTCCTTCAACGCAATGCCAAGCTGCCTTGCCAGGCTGCGAACCGCCGGTGTTGCAAGAACTTCTCGTTCTCGCTGGGAATTCTCCTTCTCTTCGAGCTTGAAACTTCCATCTCCATCCGAGATCATTATCTCCAGCAGAGTCTCTCCGACCCGAAAAAAACCAAAGAAGCAAGGTGTTAGCTTCGACTGGGCTAAGTAGTATCTCTATTACCTTAACCACGGCTCCGGGCATAAAGTTCACTTTTGACACCTTTCCTTTATATCTACTCGTGATTTCGATGGTGGCCTTGTCACTTTGGACCTCGCAAAGCGGCTGGAATTCCTCCACACATTCTCCCTGCGATCCTTTCAGACACCGATTTTTAGTCGAGAACCAAAAGCCTATACTATGAGCATACCTCCTTCACGAACCATCTCACAAGCTCGCAATCTACAATGCCCTCGCCTGTTTGAGCCAGAGGCACCTCCACAATGCCTGCCTCAGACACCATGTTCGCTGCTTCCCCGCTCATCGTGCACAAAAAATTCCGTTGCCTCTACAGTCCAACTTAAAAATCAGATTTTCCAGGACAAGGAAAATCAACCACGAACAAAGAAGCAAACTTACAGGTGGGAAGAATTTCTCAGCCCTTTGCTGCACAAACTGGATCAAAGAAAGAATGAATGAATGCCTCACATCAAAGAAGAAACCAGAGAGCACAGCAGAAACTTACAATTTTTGGAAGCTGATTTACACCATCGAGTCTGAATTGACAAGCAGCTGAAGATCTCAGCAGCGCGCGGCCTCTGAGCGCTCCAAGCACGCACAAGCGCCTCATCTCTTGAGCTGATTTTCTCGCGCAGTTTTGCTCGCCAATCCCCAAATCCAACAATCGACCTACCTGTGCCTGTTCTCATCAAGTCCATTCACAATTGGACATGCGGCTTCGTCAGGCAGCATCCGTGACACAAACTAAGAGGGACAAATTCAACCTGTGTGTAAACAAAATCAAAAAAAGAAAGAAAAAGCATTACCGGATGGGATGATTAATCCGGTTTCGTCAGGATAGAAACAAGCTGACACGGAGCTTCCATCTCACACGCCATTTGCGGAGACGACGAGAAAGCTGGGAATCGAGCCTGAGACAGTTGTATACTTCACACCAGGTAGGATAGATTCCATTAACTCTTTCAAAGAGACTAAAACACAGCTCAAACCTTGGCTAGGAACTTGCTTCTCATCATGTATGCCCATTCGAGGCCTGGACAGTAGTGGAGTGGGGGATTGAATCGTCCGTCATCGATATCGTCCGGGAGAAAAGCCCCGTTTTTCAAGAGAAAACGCATCGCCTTCTTGTTGCGTTCTTTCGCAGCGTTGTGAAGTGGAGTCCCTGTGAATGGAAAAATCGAATCAGGGCCTTTTTTCTTGTATGTTTTTGGTGGAAAGAGAGAAGTCGAAACTCACATCCACAGCCACCTCCTTTGGTCCGAGCGTCGATGTTTGCTCCTCTGTCGAGAAGCTCATCGATCACAGATAGGTGGCCTCCAGCCGCAGCCAAGTGAAGAGGTGTAGTTCCCGGCGCCTTTGGGCCAAAAGATGGCTCGTTTGGATCAGCTCCATTCTCCAAAAGTCGCTTCACCTGTAGAACAACAGAGAAAACGTTGTGAAGGAAAGCACGAAAGAGAGGAATTCTGTAGAAAGTACCTCGTCAAGGTCACCCATACGTGCCGCAACGTGAAGATTAGTCCACCCACGATCATCTCTACTACAGACCTTGTCATTCGCCTCTCGGAAAGAAAGCCGCTTGAGCAAATTCCTCTTCTCACTGATTTTCATTGCCACTTGAAAGAGTGTTCCTAGAGATCACTCTCTCGAGTCGAGCTACTGACTGTCCGCTTGGATTGTTGGCACAAAGATGGGATTTTTAGCGAGAGGTTCCAGGGCCAGGGACGCACGTAGAGTCGGAACGGGGCGAATCTAGACTCCTGAACTCACCGAAAGATTGCATGGCGCCTCCTCCAAGCGCGCAACGAAAATGTGCTCCAAACCCTAGAAAGCAATAGCCACGATTACGAATCAGTATTGATTCCGGATCAAATTTGATACCCAATCAAACATTGAGCAGTCAGTTCTAGATCTTTCTAATTCTCATTGTTGAAAAACATTTATACAACCTTTCAGCTGAGAAAATTTGTATAACTGATCTTTAATTTCCGATAATCTTTGTTTTAAAAGTCCACACCTGCGCGTTTGAAAACGCGGCGCGCATTGGGGGCCGTCCACGTGTACCGGATCATAGTGGCTGCGGACGGCCCCGATCCGAAGCGGCTTTCTTTGTTTCTTTTGTCAGTGCCAGCGTTGACTGGCTATGGCGGACTCTAGACTGCGTGCGATTTTGTCAAGCGCTTGAGCTTTGCCGACCAAGGCTAGCGTAGGGCTTCGCCAGGCCTATTGCCGATCTCGATGCTGCTGCGCCTGATGCGATCTACGATCGTCGGGAGGAGGATCACTGAGCAATGTGCTTGAGACTGCGGCGCCGGGTAAGATTAATCCCTCTCTCTCCTCGGATTCGTGACGAGATACTCCCCTCTAGGCGCCAGCAGATTCCTCCGCGGGCAAAGGCAAGAGCAAGCAATCCAAACGAAGGGTTCGCCATGGATTCTCTTGCGTCAAAGGGAGGGCCAGCCATCCCATGGAAGATTTCTATGTCGCCGAGTACCAGATTCACAGGAACCACGAGCTGGGCTTGTTTGCCATCTACGACGGGCATCTCGGCCACAGTGTTCCCGATTACTTGAAGCGCAATCTCTTCAACAACATTCTCAAAGAGGTGACGAAAACAAATCCATCTTGGTTTCACTCTCGCTGATCGATTGATCGCTACAAAACAGCCAGGATTCTTTACAAACCCGAGCAATGCAATAAGGAAGGCGTACCAGGAGACGGATCAAACCATACTAGCCAAGGCCCCGGAGCTGGGCTCCGGCGGCTCTACTGCAGTGACTGCAATTTTGGTAGACGGATTAAGATTACTGGTGGCCAACATAGGTGACTCCCGCGCCGTGCTGAGCGAGGCCGGCAAGGCTCGCCAGCTCTCGGTCGATCACGAGCCCAGCAACGCCTCGGAGCACAAGAACATCCGGGACAGAGGCGGCTTTGTTCTCAACATGCCAGGTTCTGTACAACTTGTCTTTGTTCTTCCCGTCGAGCTTGGCAAAGTGATTCTCTTCCTACTTCCAGGCGATGTGCCTCGCGTTGATGGCCAATTGGCCGTAGCTCGAGCTTTCGGCGACAAGAACCTCAAGGATCACTTGAGCGCGGAGCCGGACATTGTCGACGAGCAGCTCTCTCCAGACGCGGAGTTTTTGATACTCGCGAGTGATGGGCTCTGGAAGGTAATCAAGGGTCGGATTTTGCATCGTTTGTTCACACGCTACATGCAGGTGATGAAGAACCAACACGCTGTGGATTTGATAAAGAAGATCAAGAACCCAAAAAACGCCGCGAAGAGGTTGACGGACGAGGCCCTGGCGCTCAAGAGCATGGACGATATTTCGTGTGTCGTTGTTCGTTTTGTTTGAAAAGATTGATTGTAAGTAAGGAGAAAGGAAAGCAAGAAGAAAGGTTAACTCACTGTATAATATAAACCCATGATTCTTCCCGCTTGGAATTCATCTCTGGGGTTTCTCTCCAGGCGGGCCATGGAAGGAGGGGGGAAAGTTTGCAAGCGGTGCAAGACAACATTCGATCCGGCGCTCAACACGTCGGCATCGTGTCGGTTCCACAGCGCCATGTTTGTGTGCCGCCGACACGACGATCAAAAGAGGCAAGAAAACAAAAACTAGAGCAGGAAAATCAGTGAAATTAAGAGCGCCATGCCAGGTACTACGAATTGGGGCCCGACGACCCGCCCTACGACGCCAAATTCTACGATTGCTGCGGCGCGGAGGATCCGCAGGCCCCCGGGTGCAAAACCCTCCCCCACATTTCTTACGACGACAAAGATCATTGAAAGATTTAGGGTTCTTAGTAGAGAGGGATATTCTGTCATCCCGTTTGCCCCTGACAGAATATCCATTGGGCTTGAGAGGGATATTCTGTCTTGTGTGTCCGTTGGCTTGCTCCTTGCACTGACAAGTAGCACTACCAGCGAGTGGCACATCACCTTCAAAGCAAACCTTTTGGTTTTTCTAGGGTTTTTTTTAAGCTCTCTCCCTCGGCCTGGTAGAAGCCGGATCGAGGAGCACTCGTGCATTTTTATTTCCATTCGATTCATTCATATTGATTCGATCATCCTTGATCCCTCCAATCTTCTTTCTCTCTTGATTTTCCCTCTCTCGCGAATTCGGCGATGGCGGCCAGCTCGTGGGTGGATCGCATGCGCGGCGTGTATGGAATGCCGCTGCTGGCGCTGATCGGCGTGGGGTTTTGGGTGCAGGGATTCCGGTGCTTCCCGTGGCTGGCCGTGAATTACCATCTCAAGGACGATCTCCAGCTGAATCCGGGAATGCTCCAGTTCTTGCAGCAAAGCACCAATTTGCCATTTCTTGCCAAGCCACTCTACGGCGTTGTCTCCGACGCCATCTACATCAATGGAGCTCACCGGGTTCCATATCTTATCTTCGCAGGTACGTAGCTTTCGGTTCCTTTCTCCTTTCTACGTCTTCTTTGATTCTCTTGCGCGTTTTCTTTTGATGTACTGTTCTTAGATTTTCTTCCAAGTTTCTTCCAGATAGATTCTTGGTCGGTGTTACCAATTGTTCTTAGAAAACTTACATTCTTTCACTCCTTGCAGGCCTGATACAACTTCTCTCGTGGGGAAGTATTGCGTTTCTCCCCAAAGTCGCCAACTCGATCGGCCTCCTCGCGCTCTACCTCACTCTCAGCAACTTTGGCGTCGCCATTGGCGAGGTCGCAAACGATGCTCTGGTGGCCGAGTGTGGCAAGCGACGGGGGAGCTCCCCAGGTGAGCTCCAGTCCTTCTCAATGGTCGCCTTTTCGCTGGGGGCAACGCTGGGGAACTTGCTGGCCGGGGTAGCACTGAGTAAGCTCCAAACCACGACCATTTTTTCGATGTTCCTCATGGTGGTGACGCTCAACTTTGCCGTGTCATACTCCGTAAGCGAGAAGTCCGTGGTTGCATCGCAGGAGGTCGCTGCAAAGAGTGACAACGACAAGGATCAGCCAGGGAAAAAACATAAACGCAAAAGCATGACACAACAGGCTGTGGAGATGGCAAACCTGGTGAAAAGGCCGGACATACTCCGTCCACTTCTCTGGTTCACCTTGTCGGTCACCATCATCCCTTCGTTGCTCGGCAGCGTCTTCTACTATCAAACCCAGGTTCTCCGCGTCGACTCGTTCTACCTCGGCCTCTCCAAGGCCGTGGCTCAGCTCGGGCTTCTTTTGGCTACTGTATCCTTCAGCAGCTACCTCAAGGACGTTCCACTCGCGAAGCTGGCCGCAAGCATCCAGATCGTTCTAGCTTCCTCGATGCTCCTCGATGTTCTCCTCGTCAAGCGGCTCAACTCGCGGCTGCTGGGCGTGACGGACGAATACTTCGTGCTCTTGTTCGCGGGACTAGTTGAAGCCATAGGCCTGTTCAAGGCTCTTCCCTTCGCGGTGTTGCTGGGAAAGATTTGTCCACCGGGAGCCGAGGGGACGCTCATGGCTGTCTTCTCGGCCTGCCTGTGCCTGGCCAACCTGGCGAGCGGATACTTTGGAGTTGCTCTCGCTGCGCTACTCGGTATTTCTTCACAGAACTTCGACTACTTGGCGCTGGGGATTGTTGTAGAGGCTGCATTCACGCTCGTGCCAGTGTTCTTCACTGGCGCCTTGCAACAACAACGGCTGAAGAAAGAAGAATAGACTCTGGAACTGAGAAGTGTAAATACTGAGATGGAAAATAAATTACCTATCATACAAGTACAAGTTCCATTGCTCACTGGAGCATTTGCGTCCAATCGTGAGGCCTCCACTGCTCTAGGAACTCTTTCACAGCAGTCGTTTGATGATCAAATGACGCGTGCTTTGCCTTCTGGTGCATCGCCTCCTGGGGAAGCTTGAGCATGCCGATGAGAACGTTCCGACCAAAGTTGCTGTCGAAGTCCTCTTCGTTGTCAATCACATGGCAATAGCCGCCTTCCAGCCCGAACTCCACATGAAAGTACGGAAAGTTCTTTGGTATGGAGGAGCGAAGCCCCTTGCCTCTGGTGTCTATAAGCTTCTTCGCGTTGTGCTGGCTCCATTCATCTTCGGCCTCGTCGATTGCCTGGTCATTACACGGTGTGAGTAAAGTCATTCCGGCAGTAATCGACGTAAGGACTTGCCTTTTTGAAGTAAAGCGGACCTTGCTGGAGTACGTTGGGAGGAACGGGGATGCATTCGACCAGACAATGCCTACGTTGCTGCGAGAGATTCATGGCCGTTTCTAGAAATATCACATCCTTCTCTTGCTCCTTGAACATCTTGAGCAGGCACTTTTTAAAGTTCCGAATCTCACCCCAGACATCGTCGTCAACGTTCCTTGTAGAGCCTTCGTGCTATTAAATCAAACGCGAGCTTTAGCATTTAGTGAAAACTTTGAAAGAAGAGCTTACTTGCGAAGGAACAATGTAGCAATGTCCCGGTACAAGTGAAGACGTGGGAGGAAGCATCAAGTACGTGAAGTTGCCAATCGCGATTGTTAGATGTTTCGGCCTCGACGAGTTTTCAAAGCAATACCGGCAGCGCTCGTTCTGTGTCTGAATACGATTGTACTGAGAGACCGCGCTGTTCTTGGCCTTCGTCATTCCCTTCCTTGCCGACTTTTTCTTATAAGCATCGCTTTCGATTCCAACGTCGTCGTACTCATCGTCGGCTTGATACCTCTCCCTCGAGCGATAAATCTTTGACGCAAGGAACGCATCGGAGTCCTTGTTTTCTTGAGCATGTCTCTGGATGGCAGTGATTTTCTTCATCACCGCATCATCGCCGCCAGCCGAAGCTTTAACCTTGTCACCATCGGAATCTTTGTTTTGAGCACGTCTCTGGATTGCAGCTATCTTCCTCTTCACAGGATCATCATCAGCTGTCGGTTGATCGACCTCTGGTCCATTGCTTTCGCTAGCACGTCCTTGGATTGCCGCATCATGACCTGATCTGTCATAGTTTGAATCCTTGCTTTCGCGAACACGTCTCTGAATGGTAGCGACCTTGTTCTTTACAGCATCATCACCACCACCACTCGATTGATCCGGCTTGTCTCTATCCGTCTTCTCCTGCATCTGTTTAAACTTCTCCATAAAGCTCCCATCGTTCTCAAATATGTTGTAAGACGCTGCCGCGGCCTTGAGGACTGCAGAGTCCTCGGAGCGCATGGTATCCCTCCTCTGTGACTTCCATTTGAGTGATCCATCCACCCTCGGAGCTCTCATCCGAGAACCTTCCCTCGCAGACCGAGAATCTTCTTTCGCAGGCTCATCCTCTGAGCGTCCTGCCTCCTGTTCCTGCTCGTACTTACGTTTTCTGTCGCGAATAGCATGGAGATGTGCGTTGGAATGTGCCGCTCGCTTGTTACTTACGCGAGAGAACGCATCAAACGATCCCCATCGATCACTGATAACCTGTATCCCCTCAATTCATAAGCCACGAGAAGTAAAGAGGAAAATGGAAGAGAAACACTTACATCTGGAAGACTCGCTCCTTCTCGTGCCGCACGCTCTTGAGCACGCTTTAATCCCTTGAGAAGCCAACTAGCACCCCCATCGCCGACACCTCCGGGAACTCGTCGAGCTACATGTTCTTCTTCTGGAAATCCTTCGCCGCCATCTTTCCAGTGTGGATTGAGCTCCTTTGAATTCGAGGGAGGTTTCTGTTCATTTCATCCATACGTGATTGTGAGGAAACGAAAACGGGACTAGAATTTCTAACCTCGTCGCGCTCTGCCTTGGAAGGAGCAATCTCTTCCTTGGGGACGGCTCGTTGAGGCCTGCTTGGCGCCACTGACATCCATTCCAAGCCAGCGTTCTTCCGCTTGGCAAGCATCTCTGGATCATCGGCATCGGCCGTCTTTCCCTCGCGATCCACATCCTGTAAGAGAGCTCGGCGGAGTGAGCGCTAGAATAATCTCGATCTACGAGCTTACATTTGAAGACGACGCGACCGAATCCCTGGAGACGAATCGCACCGCGCCAAGCATCCTGGGCCTCTCTGGGCAAATGCTTCTAGGGTTCTTCACGGAGAATATTCTCAAACAAATTCCATAGTCCGCATTAGGGCTCTTAGGCGCGATGGAGTGTTTGCAGGCCGCGAGCTTGTTCCCGCTTGGATTTCGGTAAGCCAGATGCAATTGCCTTCTCTCAGCACCTAATCTTCCGGTCCAGGAAGGCGCCCATGGCAGAGCAGATCGAGAGCCCGGATTACTGCTCCTCGAGCCTTAGCAGTGGAGAGCAGGCCGGATTTCTTTCTTCTAGAGCTCGCAGAGAAGCTGGAGGACAGCGTGAGCAAGGGTGCTGGGGAGGAGAGGAGGAGCAATCTCGTCTTGAAAGCCTTGCGGGATGGATCGGCCGAGGTCGCGGTTACGTGTAAGTGGCCTAGCAGCAAAGACGAAGCTTACAGGTTCACAAACGTGAAGTTTCTCAAGGATTCAGAGATCCAGCCGCTGATACTTGGTGAAGATGAAGTGGAGAGCTTGAGCTTTGAGGGCATGGAAGACGAAGAAGATGAGAGCATCAGGCTGGTCTTCGTGGATGGGATCCTTTCTCCGGAATTGTCGAAAGTCGAAGGAGTTCCTCCTGAAGTTTACGTTGGAAGTATACTCGGTGCTCCGGATGAGAAGCTCCAGAAGTACGTCGTCCCCAGGATCGCACAGGCGTCAACCTTGATAGACAAGGATGCTTTCGTCTCCCTGAATGGAATTGGAGCGCTGGATCTGGGTGTGGTGCTGGTTCCCAAGGACTTGAAGCTGGAGAAGCCTATCCACGTTGTCTACTACTCGACTCCTCGCAAGAACTTGAAGAACCAGCTTGAACCTCAAGTCGTGTCAATGACAAATCCAAGGCTGCTCGTGGTGGCCTCCGAAGGAGCAACGGTCCATCTGGTTGAGGAGTTCAGAGGAGGAACAGAGGAGAGCTCCCACTGGACGAATTCCGTGTGTGAGATTGTTATCGAGTCGGGAGCTTCAGTGTCTCACGACTTGATACAAACTCAAGAGCGATCTTCTGTGAGCATGAAAAAGACTTATGTCTCACAGGTACATTCTCTTTCTCTTGCCGCTATTCTGGATGATTGACATTGGGCCTTTCAGGAGAAAGCTAGTAGCTACAAGTGCGTGGACGTGGAACTTGGGAGCAAGCTAAGCAGGCACAATCTCCACATTGAGCAGCTTGGTTCCGACACTAAAACGGATATGTTAACGTTCCTGTTGTGCGGTCGTGATCAGGTGCAAGACCTCCATAGCCGGTTGATACTGAACCATCCCAGAGGCTATGCAAGACAACTCCAGAAGTGCATTGTCATGAACTCAACAGGACATGGTGTGTTTGATGGCAACATTCGCGTAAACAGGTAAAATACTCTTTTTTTCTTTATTTTCTGCTTTTGCTTACGCACCAAGTCTGGATTCACAGGGATGCGCAGCAAACTGATGCTGGCCAGTTGAGTAGATCCCTGTTACTCGCTCCGAGAGCTACAGTGAATGCGAAGCCGAGCCTTCAGATAAATGCCGATGATGTCAAGTGCACCCACGGTGTAGCCATCAGTGACTTGGATGAAGACCAACTGTTTTACTTCCGAGCTCGTGGGATAGATGCTCAAACAGCACGCAGTGCGTTAGTGTTCTCCTTTGGAGCTGAAGTGATTGAGAAGCTGGAGAGTAAGACGATGCAGAAAAGCGTGGAAGAGTTGCTTAAAAGTTTGCTGCTTCGTGAAGGAGCTATATGATTCGCTATAAGAAATAACCAGAAATCGCTGTGCATGCTTGGTTGTTTTAATATGAAAAGCTTAACTTGGTGGCAAATCTATGCATTGGTTCAGATAGCATAAATACTATAGGATCAGTTCAGATCTATTGCTATTGCCCCAATCGGTGCCGTAATTTCTAAAATATTTTGGGCCGGCCCAGAAGGTGGGCATGACACCTGTTTGTTTGTTGTGCGCCCTAGGAGGTGTAAAACTCTCCTTTACTGCAGCTCCTCCTCCGCCCTTGCAGCCGCAAAACTTCTACCCCGGATGAGGATACCAGCACCAGAGGTGGAGGCCCAGGAGCTTGTGCCGCTCGAGTACGGGGATGTTCACGGTTCATGCAAGGTTTAGCATCATCCCCTGTCGCCAGTGTATCACAAGGTATACTCCCAGGAATTCCTCTGGGACTAGACAGCTCCACACGGCTCAATCGGTCAGTATTGCTCTAGCCCATAAATCATTCTTCACAGTGAGCAGGACATGCTGCAAGAGAGCTCACATCCTAGATCAATGAATGGGCACTCCAGAAGTGGCCAATTTTCCAGTGGTCAGGTGGAGCAGGGCCGAATCATTCAATCTCTTTGGCTCCAGCGTGCTTCTCATGGGATCTTCCAGGGCATTCTTTGCAAGCATGCAGCGCATGGTGCATGGCAATCCACACAATATCAATGGTGTTGAAGGAATTTGTTCAAGGGATTGGCATGCGGTGTTCAAATGGATTAACATGGTCACATGCATTAGTGGATACTGTGGAGGAGCTGAATGGTTCCAAGATTCCTAAGTTAGTATTTTCTTATTTTACTTATGTCTTTTCTTGAAGCTGTTCCAAGTGTATCTCACAATCTTGAGAAGAGTAAAAACTCTTTCTTCATTTCTTGTGCAACTCTTCTAGATTGCATCAGCAGGCTTGAAAGCTTTGCATCATCCTGGTCCATTCCAGTTCTAGAAGTTCCAGGCAAAGCCAAGAAGATTAGGCAGTAGTGTCTTAGATCAAGAAATTTGCTAGGTTGATGGAATTTCAGTTCTGCTTGGGAAGGCTCCTCCACTTGGGACAATGGTGGATCTATTCTTTGTTATGCTTTCTCTCTTTAGATTCATCCTTCTATGGTAAAAATTGTTGTGTTATTCTTATTGTGCTTTAGTATGTCCAACAGTAGGATAGTAGATAGAATTGCAACAATCAGGGTTTCTTCTTTCTATGCCATATGATTTAAATATTTCCAAGAACTTTGCCAATTGGCAGTTGCAGATCTTGCTGAGTCCATGAATACCAAGAGATTACTACCAGGATTCTCAAAATTTCTTGCTCTAAGAATGTGCAATGTTGTTGGTGAAGTTGCAAAGAAAGTTTTGTAAAGAATCTATCACTAAGGATTTAAAGATGTTTACCTCTCCTTTCTATGGATGCTTAGTTAGGAATGCTAGATGGATTTTGAGCTTACAACTTGATTTGCCTAATACTTGAAATTTATAGTTGTAAAGTCTGTAATACATATATTTATAAACATGTATTACCTTATCTAGGTAATATATTAATTACAGTATTATAACATATCACTGCTTATTTTGGATTGAATTTGGTCTTCCTCAAGAGTCTAAACCCCAATTAATATACTTACTCCCATATTTTAAACATTCACATTGGTGGTGGTGAGGGCATTGCAATTTGTTCTTGGAGGGTAAAACTTTTTTGTAATACTTTACTCTAGTGTTTGGGATTGTATTTTTATTTTTATTAATTTTTTCTTTTTTAGATTTAGATTTGTATGAACTTCTTGCAAGATCTAGAATTTTAACTTTCACTGTGCTTAAATTTATTCTTCTTTCTAATTTTCATTGCAATTCCTTCTTCTACCATGCCATGTTGTTATTAATCAAGGAATATATCATTTGAAGTTGTTAATGCTACTCTATTAAATTAAATTTTTGGTGGTGTTATGGCCATCTTTAATGTATTTCCATCTCCAACTTCCATGGGAATGAACTTGATTATTATAAAGATAACTTTAGAGACAAAGTAGAGATATTAAAGGGTAGGTGTTAATCTTTCAATCTGCTATTTGATCTTTTCTCTTTACTTTTTGCTCTTTCTCAATAATTTTTTTATTTTTTGGTTTAAGCCATTTTCTTATGTTCTTAGTGTTTCTTCTTCATCTATAACGTTTTTGTCATTCATTTGTGACTCTTGTTATTTTCATTTTTAATTTAGTGTTGAGTTGAGTGTTTTTTGTCCTTTTTATACTAATCTGGATGTTAAATATATGCATGAAGTTGAAAATTTTGTATTTACTTCATTAACAAAGTTTGTAATTAGTTTTAGTGTTGATTATTCCCTTGTTCTAAGAATTGAGTTACTTTGGCCAAAGTTTCAGATTGAGTATATGTTCCCACTTGTGAGTGCTATTAAAAGTTTTTGCTTTACTATTGATATTGACGAGTTTATGTGTTTTCTTAAGAGTATGGATATCCCTATTAATTTTCCCAACTTAACTGTTGAGTTGTGTGTTGAAAAATATAAATCTTTTGCTTATATTGTGGTGGTTGAATAATTTTATGATAGGAAATCCTCTATTTTTCAAGCTTTTAGCACATATCTTTCTTTATATTTCTCAATTTCTATATTGCCAATTGTTGAAAATTCCTCTTTTAATGTTTCTTTATTTACATTTTCTTCTTTCATAATGTTTCTTCTTTAATTTTTCTTATTTTCTCCTTTTTGTCTTGACATTTCAAACTTTTTTTTTTTCAAAGAAGGAGGTAGAGGAGATGGATGAGAGTCCCTAATGATGATGTGAGGATGAACATGTACAGTAGCAAAGTGAAGACAAATGACATAGATTGTGGAGTGAGTATAAGCATAGCAAGTCTAAATGGAATATCTAATTGCAATATAGTAAAGCCGAAAAAATATGAAAGTGGAGTGAGGTCAAACATAAATGGTGGAGTGAGAACAGGCACAACAAATTTGAATAGAGTTAGTGTTTTAAAGTTTTTTTTTCTTTCGAAGAAGAAATAAAGAGGATGTAGAGGATGAATAAAGTGATTCTAATCTCCTATATGCATTATTGGATAATGATAAAGGTCATGAGTTTGAGGTCTTAAATGTTAAATGAAAGGAAAATACAAAGGAAGATATTGTTTATAGTCGTGAGTCCGAATTAACAATGGTCTCAAAACATCATTAATAAATAGACTTAAAGATGGAATATATCATTTATTTCAATGGTGCTTTATAGACTTTAGTGGCTCTTGAAGTCCTTTATTTTAATTCAAAATTATAGTTTTAAGGTTAATTCAGGCATTTGGCAATTATATATAAAGTTGCAACTAGTTCATTGGGATTTCATAGTTGACTAATGTTTATGCTATAATTTTAGGGTTTGTTTCAATTATAGTTGTTAGCAACTATATTGATGGTTTTATGGGAGCTTCAAGTTCTTGTATCAATCTATAATCATCTAGCAAAAACTCCAAATATTTCACCTAACTCATTATCACTTTTTTCATTATTTGGAGGGAGGATGGTGTAAGGTATAATATATTAATTATATTACTATAGCATAAGGACTATTTATTTAGGACTGAATTTATCTCATCCATTCCTGTATATAAACAAGGGTCTAGACCCAAATTAATGTATCTATTCCCATATTTTGAGCACTCATAAAGTGTCTTTTATGAATATATTTCAATTAATTTTTACAAATATCTGAATTAGTAATAATAATTTTTATGAATTCTGCTTTTACTTTTGTTTCAGATTATTAATATATTAGCATTTTTGAAATAGTAATAAGTTTATTTATATCTCAAGTGAAAGCATACTTTACATTTAACTATAACAAACAATTAGTACTTGCAAGGTTTTAGGGAAGATACACCTCCCAAAATGGGAGGTATTCCTGGAGTGGTCAGCCCAGAAAAAAAATGTTTTGTATAGTAATATGATCTCTGAAATATTTTAGATAAAAAATTAACTTTAATAATTTTAATTTGAAATATAATAAGGAGGTTTGCTTAGTTTTAAGAGTGTATACAAACTCAAATTACTAATACAAAAAAATTAAAACAAACAATAGGAGTATATATTATATTTTTATATGTAGCCTTAGTTAATTACAATTTAACTCATCAAAAATAATTTGATTAAGCAGTAATATTTAAACTCTTTTTCCTAACTATAAAAACTGTTTAGTATATACTATTATGGAATATCAGATTTTGTGTGTGCATGGAATATGAAAATAGAATACAGAAATATGAATATTAATTAGCCCAAAAGCTTAGTTTATATATAGGAGCGAGTGGTCTAGATTGAAAACAATCCAAAAGCTATCAAAATCCCACTACACTAATATTAGTATATAGTATTGTAGTAGTATACTTAGACTTCATATCAACCCCTCTTAGAAAGATGGAAGATAGTTAAGGTTTTTTGGTGGACAAGCTGGGACTTAGAGAAACATTAGGAGGAGGCATCAATGGATTTGTAGTTGGTGTCAGTTGTTCTTGATCCCTTTATATAAAATGTTTTAGCTGTTGCACATGCACAATTTTTGGAAGATCCAATAATTGACATATAATTAACATTATGCCAAACCTCATAAATTTGCAGTCTAACTTGCTACAACACCTGATACAGTCCATTCCACTGAGCAAAGAGCCTTTTAGACAAATTATGTACCATAAGATTGGGAAAACAAACTAGCACTAAGTCATCCACTTTGTATATCATAGGTGGATGATAATAGAAGTTGTAACACTATTGTTATCCCATTTGTATGTGGCCTAAACATTTGGTAAACTCTATCAGACCAAAGGAAGAATGCTCATCAAATACTGATCCCAAGACCTAGCATTGGTAACTTGTAGCAATTGCAAAAGAAAACTCAACTTTATTGGCAATATCGAATTATAACCATATAAGAGTTTATATGATGAAGCACCAATAAAACTATGTATCCCTGTGACACACATATACCAAAAAGACAATAGATAACTATTACAATCTAAATGTTGAAAGCTCACGTACTTCACAATCACTTTGAAGGTTCG